CCCCAGCACAACCAAACAATCCACACATCCTAGCCGAACCCTCCATGTGACCCAGATCAATACATCTTTCACTCGGAATCCGACCCAATTCGCCAAATGCCGCTATCTCCGCACATCTTATCACTCGCTCTCCGTATCTCCCATGGCAGGCTGTATCCCTCTCCTCCGTGCCCACTTCCACAGGCGCGACCGCGTCCGCATCCTGGACTGCTACCTGCAGCGCAATATGGCCCGCAACGGCGGGCTCCTGACGTACGTTGTCTTTGTGACGGCCACCTGGCAGCCCGACGATGTGGAGTTTTTGGACCGGCTGGTGGCAATGCGTGGTGGCGAGTACAGGTGGGAGAGCGGGAAAGGGTGGTTGGACATTGGGTTGGCGATTAGGCAGTTCGATGGCGAAAGGAGAAGGGACGCGGGCATGCGGGGTCTGGCTTGGCAGCGAGGCTCGGGGGGAGGTGCACGCACGTGCTCCGTAATTGATGGACTGCTAGCTGCTAGTCAGTTGTTTGCATACGCCCTGCCTGGCCCTGTGTAAGGGTATTGAGGGTTGTTGTGATGAATGTCTACGTGTGCCTATGTCTGCATGTGTCTACGTGTGCTTAGCAGTGGTGTTCTGGTTTGTTGCCATGAGCGCGGCAGATACAGAGGAGTGCTCATGAGTGCTCACGCGGCGTGAGGCAAGTGATGGGTTGCTTGGCTACTTCAATAGGACAGGCAGTATAATTAAGTAGGGCAAGAAGTTTGTGGTTAGCAGCGAGATGCTGAGCTCAGCCCCTTACGATTTCAAAGATGGTGGTGATGTGCTTGTGTGTGCGTGCAGGAAGCTCTACCCTCAGCGTCTGGACAAGGGGTACACGGGTCACTACGCCTGGATGGATCCTGCCACGATTTACGTCAAGATCGATGACGACGTCGTTTACATTGCGGATGACGCCATTGACCACATGCTCATAGCGCACAACCTGGTGAGCCCGGTCGCGGTGGGAGGCACAGCCGATAACATAATGGTCGGACGCTCCCTAGAGTTCATCAACATATTCGACGTGTTCGATGACATGATGGTCACTGTGCCATGCCATATAGGTGTTTCGATTTGTTTGGGCCCCCCCCCCTCACATTTGTGCTTAAGATTCTGATGCTTGGGTCTGTCCTGCCTGGTCTTGGCATTCTCTTGGTGCCCATATGTTACAAGTTACAAGTTCCGCACACAAGTGCGGGTGTGTCCGTAAAAGCCGGGGGGGCCATGGACGTATATGAGGAATTTATATTCCATATGAGGAATCGGAAAAAGAAGAAATGAGCGTTTTAGAGCGCTTACTAACCGCCGTAAGTACTGCACGCTGTTGGTCGCGCCGGCGCCGTTGCAGCCGGTTGCTGTGCTACTGCAGTCCATGATAGCGTGTGTGTGTGTGTGAGGTGGGACTTCTGCCGGTAGTAGAAACGACAGGTGCATATATTGAAAACCAGCCTTATGACGTGTTTTTTTCCCGTTGTTTTTGTTTGCGGTTTGTCATGGTGCACATTCTGGGTGGGGTGATTGCATTCTCGCGGATGGGCCGATCCAGACTGTGCAACCAGATGCAAACTGACCCAGATCGACCCGGTTGTTGACCCAACCCGGCCCTGAGGCGCCAACCCACACATGGCGTGGTCGCCGTGGCCAGTCTCCAGGGCCTTCCGTTGCTCAAACTTGGACTGAACCCTTTTCTGCAGGTTCTCACGTATTCTCACGCACACATGCAAAGCATCTTGTTATCCCAGTCGATGCTGCGCATCTCCCGCCACATCGCACAAGCCAATTAACCTCTATCATCCCTTTACACCACCTGCATTGTATGTAAATAATGAAACGTGCGTGAAACCCGTGCTGCGCCTCCTCGTGGCCCTTCCCGCCCGCGTTCTGCGCTCCGCAGCATCGCTACCACCTCATATCCGCCAACGTGGTGAACCACCAACCCTTGGAGCTGCCCCACAGCCAAAGTGGCGCCCATTACATGTACGAGCAGACCCGGCCCGGTGATAAAAGCAGCTGGCAGGTCGTTATGGGTCCCGCCCCAGCGGCAGCGGGTGCTTCCGACACCCGCAGCGGTACTGATGGCCCTAGTGTTGCCATGACGGCGCTCCAGCGCGTCCATTTCATGGACAATGGCTGGGATGTCTGGGGCGACTGGCGCCGTGCCGCCAACGTCCATTACTCCTTCCTTGCGAACCACGCAGCTGGTCGACTGGGTGTGTACAACTTTCCCCCGAACGAGCAGCTGTGGGACTTCAACAAGCACGTTGGCTACACCCGGTGGCGCATCAACATGATTATGTTTAAAGGTAAGCCGTGAGCGCCGCCGAAATAAAGGCATGTGTCGGGGCTTGGGCAATTTTCGAGCTGAGCTTCTGTGTACCAGGTGCATGTGTTGTGCTGTGCGCCGCACGCCGCAGGCTGGGGGACGTTGTGCATGGGTTGTGGTGTTGATGGAGACGTCTACGGGCTAGTATCCCTGTAGCTGGCATCCTTTTGCAGATGGCGAGGAATTTCTCTTGGACAGTGCTCCAGGCTACCTTATTGCGCGTCCCTTGGGTCAATTGACATCATCCACTGTCTTTGCATCATGAAGAGTTCAAAACGAGACGGACTGATGAATTAACCAAACCAAACAATCACCCACATCGCTGTCTGCCTGCGTGTCCGCTGTTGCCCTGGGCAGCTGCCAACATTGACGTACATGTGTACAACATGAGCTCAACCGTCGACACCTACCCGGGCGACGACGAGGATTACATCACACGCATCCTGCCCAAGCAGCTCAACCGCACCAGCGCCGCCGTGTCACAGGCGCTGGCGGTGCACTTTTCCTTCTTCATGCAGCGGGCTGGCCTGGAGAACAATACCGACCTCCTCGACAGGTCGGTCTGGGGGCGATTTTGCATGGATAGGTGCATGAATGCGTGGGTTACGCAATTGCATGCAACATGTACGCGTGTGTGACAAAATGTGATGCGGAATGGAGAAAATGGTCCATTGTGCGGCGCACGCGCTAACATGCACCCACGGCGTTGGGCGAGTGCCGTGCGCGCCGCATGGATATGCAGGCGTTATCCAGGCACTGTGTAGGGGCGTAGGTCGCCCATGTGGGTAAAGGGGCAAGAGAGGAGAAAGGGAGGCGCCTCCGTGTGCCCTAAAAAACCGCCGCCGTGTGCCAGATTTGTCTTTCTGTCCTTGCTTCTTTTCCCCTGTCGTGTGGACTAATATGCGCGCATTGGGACTCCATAGCTCCTTTCCTGTGTGTATACTCCCACCTGCCCCACCAGGTATACCCTTCTGGCGGAGAGGACGTGTGGGCGGCTTGTGCCGTTGTCCCCATGAAGGTGGATAATATTGCACACATGTAAGGGTTGCTGGCCCTGGGGCCGCTGGGAGACAGAGATGGCGATTCCTAAAGGTTGCTGCTGTACGCCACTTGGAGCATTGAACGAGAATGCATTGCACGCCGCCGCCAAGTAGCTGGGCAGCCAGAAGTAGCTGGGTGGTAAGGCGCTATTGGTGGTGAAGCCGTGAGCCATGGGATGCCTTTGGTGATTATGCAACACCGTTCGCGGGTCAATAACCTTGAGTTGTTTGTCTTCCAGGAAGCCGGGAAGTGTTAGACGTGTACGTGGTAACACTGTCGCGGCAGTATTCACCCACACGAAGCGTGATTGTACATAGATTAGGCAGGTGCACAGCAACGGAATTAAGACAGCAAGGCAACGAGACAATAAACTGGCACCAGGCGATGGATTATCGCCAGATTGTCGCCGTCCTGAGAACCTTACATATTGTATGTAGTGTATGTAGTAGTGTGCGTGCAGCCACCAACCCGGGGAGGCGACTGGTTTTGTTAAGTGGCTCGGCACTTGCGGATGGTGGTGCCTTGCGTTATGAGTATGTACTGTCGCAAGCATGCGAAGCGAGAGACGTGATAGGTAGAAAATGTTTGTGACACATGACGCGCAGGCAGAGAATAAGGGTCTAATGACCGATGGTGGGTTGTGAACTCAAGGAGGAAATGAAACACATTTGCCAAACTGTGATACAGGCACATTGGCCTGCTAGGGGATTTGCGTTTTTCCTTCTTTGTTCTTATTTGGTCCCTGTTGTCAAGGAGTACCTCTTGCTTTTTCTACGATGTTCACTTCCCAACGTTCCTGTCATTTTTTTGTTCATGTTTTTTTGTTCATGTGGCTGTGCATAGCACGTGTGAGGGGACGTGCGCCGGCCGCCGCGGCGGGTCGGTGTGAACCTGTCTTACGCATGCAGGTATGGTTTCGGATTGCTGCACCGGAAGTTCGTCGCGTTTTAGGGATACGATGTCCGGACCCTGGCCGGCCTTTGCATCATCCATCTGTCTCCCAAAGTCCAGTTTTAGCAAGGTGTGGAAATTCGCCCTCATGTCGCCCTCAGTGCTGAGCTTTGCGCCCAATAATAGGGCCTTGCTGCCTGGGTACTTGCATTTGCCAGCAATGCGATGTATTATCAACGCGCCATCGCCATGCAGACACTGCGCGTATGCTTTTGTGGAAAGCGCACAGGTTCGCCCATGCAGCAGGAGAGCCGTCGCAGCACATTGTTGCGCCGTGCTTAGGTCGGCGGTTTGGCAAGTGTGGACATGTGTGACATGACATGTACCAGACATGTACCAGATGTCGACATTGGAGACTATGTGTCGGGGGCGCCCTGGCAGGGTTTGAATACGTACTATAGGGCAGTAAGGGGATGAAGTGGTGTGGCGTGACAAGGGTTTGATTAGACGGCCTTTCCTGGCATGATTTGGAAAGGGCAAGAGGAGGGGCACACTTTGGGCGGTCCGTTTCTCCGCTTTTAGGGTAAGAGGAGTAGCAGCACGCGGGTTGTGTGCAGTGATGAATGCGTGACTTGGTGACCGGTGCGCAGGACAGTCGATGTGGACATTTGAAAATTAATCCTTACTGTTAAAGCGGCGGCCATGGTAGTGGTGTTTGTTATGCTTCATTGGCAATAATAAATAACTGTCCGTTGCGTGCAAGTTACAGGGAGTTTAGGTTCGGGGGAAATTACATCGGTGGTTTTGGGCTTTGCAGGGTTGTTGGGAACATGTAGGTGTTTGGTTACACTGGCATATAGGCTGATGGGGAAAGTAACTATGGCCCAGACCAGTGACCCGCCTTCAGGGCAATTTATACATTTATTGGCGCTCTACTCCGCTGTTAGGGAAAGCACGCGAAAACCTGTTTAAACCCTAACAATTACAGTGGCTCGAAAAGCAGAGCACAGTTGAGCGCTTTCGCTGTCAGCTAACCACGGAGCGAAGCACTATCGCTGCATGTGGCATCTGCTCTGCACAGCCACGTGCATACCAGAGGCGTAACAGTTGGCTCAGATGCGGCCTCTCTTGCGACGAGGTACGGCATTGTACGACTGTGCACACAGCGCATGCTGCAGAGCAGGTGTACTGTATTACTGAGCCCTCCTACAACACATGAAAACAAAACCCCCTGCGAAGCGCCTCACAGGATAGCAACGGGACACCACTCTATTGGACCACCGAACGAAGACGGAGCTCGACCGATGGGACATCCCTCCCACCATTCATCCTTCCATACATACATACATACATACATAAACTCCTCTATCCCTATATACATCCCTCCCTTTACACATCGCTCCCTCCATCCCTCTTAACACCCCTTCCCTTACTCATCCCTCCCTCCACCATATAACATAAAAGGGCCGGTAAACGACCCGTCCGCTATAACCCAACCGGTCGCTTCGCTAGGATAACTGACATTTTGAGATAACTACCCGGTAACCTTACTGGTCGGTTATTACCTTACCGACAGGCAACCCTTTGTTGGGTCGTCATGCATGGTCAGGCACTTAGGGTTCATCCATGAAATTCCATCACGGTCAACCGAGTTTTGTCCCGCCCGGCAACCGATTGGCAGGGTAACCCTCCGGTAGGGTAAAGGCCCCGGTAACCCTACCAAGGCCCCGACCAGTGGGGCCCGGTTACCGGACGGTGACCAGGTCGAATGTAAAATGCCGTAGGGTAGGCCGTTCGCGGATTTCCAAATACACGCCATGTAGGCTGTTCATGTGGGTTTGCACACACCTTGCCAGACTACTTGCCGCCATCATCCACCACTTAGCTTTAAGAAAGCACGGAAGGGCGCCCACATGACTCCCATCAACCGGGATAGCTAGGGCCCAACAGCCCTCTTGCCGGGAGAATCCCCATAGTTGCAGTCGGCCCTGGCCTGCCTAGCCCAACCCAAGGCAATCCCAGCACAGCACAGCACATCCCCGCACGGCTGAGGGCCCCTCTGACCAGCCAGGTCCAGCTCAGCCAATTACAGCTCTGAACACGTTCATCAAGCTAGAAGCCCCCCAGATGAATATTATGGCTGGGTTGTCTAGAAACCCGAAGTATACCGTTGCGAGGTTTTCAAGTCCAGGGCGGTCCCTGCCTGACTACCGTGGTCCTGCCTGTACGACTTCGTGCAACGCACGTGTACGTCATCAAGCACTCCAACCCACTACATGCACTGGTATCAGCACCCGTTCTCGGACACCGTCCGCCGTGCTGGCGACGGGCAGAGCGCTGTTCCCGCTTCCGTCGCCAGTGCTGTCGGCGTACAGTGAAGCCTCCCCACCCCGCCCCTGCCGGCACACAAGCCCCGGCGACACGACCCAGAGAACCACGCCGCTCCTGATGTTACTTCTGCTGCCGCCACCGCTGCCGCCGCTGCTAGTGCCCATCGTGCCGCCGTCGCTACCGCGGCTGCAGAGTCTGTCGTCGTCCTCCAGCTCCAATGACAGCCACTCAACGGCGAGAACGAGCTGCGGCGCCGTCGGGGCCGCCGGCACCACGGGCGCCGCCACCTGCGGCGGCGCCAGCTGCCCCTCTTGTACGGCACCGTACGGCGCAATTAGCGGAGTCCCCGGTGCCACGAGCCGCAGCGCCATCCCTCCGGGCGCGGCGGCTACAAGCATGCCTAGCCGTAACGACGACGCCACAAGGTCCTCTAGCTGTCGTACAACAGCGGTAATTGCCGCATGGACGCCGTCGGCGGCGTTGCGGCCAGCGGAGCCGCTTGTCATCGGCTCTGTGCCGGGGCCGGCGGCGGCAGGTGCATCACCGGCTGCATGGAATGGCGGCAGCGGCGGCGGCAGCAGTGTTGGCGGCGGCGGTACAAGGCCCAGCACGCTGCTGGCTAGGTCCGCCGCCAGGCAGACCGCGGCTGCGTGAAGTGCAGTGGCGTCGGCAGATGACGGTGTGGCCCATGGGTTGTCTGCCTCCGCCGCCAACCCTGCGGCACCCTGGAACTGGTTGCCGCTTCCGGCACCAAAGCCGCTTCCCCTGCCGCCGTCACCGCCACCGCCGTTCCCCAAGCCGCCAACCTCCTGCAACTCATGCAGCATGAGTGTCGTACATCGGAAGGATGAGAAGGTAGGAAACAACCAAGTAATTAAGCAAGTGCTCCGGTATCTCACTACCACAAGCACACACGACTATATGGCCTAACACATACCTTCCCATTAATGGGCACCATATCAGATCACATCACATCTGAAACGGTGATGACATTGCAATGTTGGCCGTGACGGGGTCGGACAGATAGTGCCGGAGTGGGAGCCCCGTCACAACACTAACCTTTCGCAGCGGTCCCAACAGGTTTCAGCAAAATGTCTCCAGCAATACACATTCCGCATTTCAGACATTGTAGTGACCCAATGTACGGATACAAGTACGGCACTAACCTGGTGATGCGTCGGGGATACCGCTGTCAAAACCCTTGGAGAGTCGGCTGGGGTACGGCAATTACCTCATCATCCCTCTGTCCAAATGCTCTGAGAAGAGAGCATGATGATAATCTAGAACATAGATATTATTATACCTTGTGCGGGATGTACGGGGCGTACGGGATGTACGGATGTATGGGCTGTATATGCTATTCACTGCACGGAGGTCTGCCTTGAGACGTACATACATACGTACACACTGCATACATTTACATTGTGTAACAAATCTAGATATGTACACAAGCATAGGAGCATGGGAGATGGGAGCTCCGATGCATCTTTTCCTGGATATAGAGCGCCGAACTCAACCAATAATTACTAGGAAAGCTATCTACGTAGGTGTATGTATGTATGTATGTGCGCAATACCACGAAAATCATGAATGGGAGGAAATTACTTTGTTCCATTCGGCCCAAGATCGCGTCACGTCACATCATGACACGTACTCGCAACAACGGATTGCCGCCGCAGATCCTGCAGTACGCGGCGCGAGGGGACGATTGCCCACCGCCGCCGGAGCCGCCGCCGTCGCCACCGTCGTCATTCGCGGCCTCCACCCTCCTAGCGGCCTCACACCCAGCTCCCCCAGCCACCGTCGGCGGCCAACCCCTGGGAGCCGCCTCCCCAGTTGTACGGCAAGGTGGATGGGGGGTACGAGGAGGGGAGCGGGCGGGAGCTGCACCGATTGTTCCGAGCAGCGCCACGCCGTGTCTGTCCTCGAGCTGCTCCAGCGCCTGCGTCCCCAATCGTTCGTTGTCATGTATGTGTGTGCGGAGGCCCGACGTTGAGGATGGCTCCGGGTGACTGGAGGTGACGTTTTTCGGCCGTTCCTGTTTTCTTCACGGTTACTGTCCAGATGCTACAGCGTGCTGTATGTATGTACGTATGTATGTATATATGTGTGGGTTTTACCAGGGAAGGTGATAATGGCGCACACTAGGTAGCGGTTGTACGGCATCGCGGGCGGCACAAAATAACAGTTTACGCGCGCAGATGCCGCGTACACGTGATTTCTCCCCCAGCACCACCTTGTGCTCCGGTCTTCCTGGGCCTTATGTTCGCTCCCTACCTGCGCCACTCGGGCAACTTGATTGCCAAGCTCGGTGACGGAGGACCCCAGGTCCCACGGGTCGTCCGCACGCAGCGCCGCCGCCACGCCACCGCCTGCCGTACAGGCCGCCGTCGCCGCCAGCAACCCTGCGTCGGCAGCTTCGTCGCCTGGAGACGGGGGGTAGGGATTTGCAAGCCGACGCCGCGGCGGCCGCTGCGACCGCGGCGGGCGAGGAGGCCGCGACGGCGGCGCAGGGGCGGCGGCTGACGGCTGGCGGCAAAACGGCAGCGACGTATATGGCGGTGGTACGGCTCCGGCCTCCCCAGCAGTGGCTGTGACGAATCGGTCCGGCGGGGTCGCCGCGGACAGCTTGGGAGTCATGACCGCCGCAGCTGGCGGCACCGCCGCTGCCGCGGCTGCGCTTGCTTTTTCTCCTGCTGCCGCGACCTGTCGTACATTTACTGTGACGAGTGGTTCTGCAGCTCGTACTGCGGCCGCTGACCGCACGTTTTGAGGCCGCCTGGAGGCGTTCACGTCAGCGTTGACGTCGCTGCGGCCGGTTCGGTCCAGTCCCTTTTGGCGCTGACGGGGGCCCCCGGGCGCGGTGGTGACGCTGGGATGTGGACCGCCGCCGCCGCCGCCGCCGCTGCCGCCGCCGCCGTCACCAACCCTGCCGCCAGGTGCGGCTCCGGCTGCGGCTCCAACGCCTTCACCGCTCCCGCTAGGACCTGCGGCAGTAGCCCCTGCTGCTGCTGCTAGTGCTGGCGGCGGCGGTGGCGGTGGCCGCTTTGCCACTCGCGAGTGAATGGCGGTGGCGGCGGCGCTGATGACGCCGCCCGCAAGGCCGCCTGATGATGCCGTACGGCATCCCGAGGCTTGGGGGGAAGACGCGGGTTGCGACGCCGGAGCTGCTGAGCACTTCCCTTTCGGCGGCGCCCCTGCCGCCGCCGCAGCCGCCGCCGCCGCGCGACGGCTCGGCGACTTCCGGCGGTCGTACGTCTTGCAGCGGACGAAGCGATCGTAGCAACTGCGGTGGTAAGATCGACACACCTAGCAAGTGTTGTGTACTGATCTTTGCGTATGTAACCTTGATAATAATGCCGGAAATGATGATCTGGATTATCGAAATGCAATGGACTCGCTGGCAATGGATACAAGATAGCCATGCTAAAGCGCGGCACGGTGTCCCTCTGTGAGATTCTAGGATCGATTCCGACACAGAACGAATTAAAATCTTCGGACCGTAAGCGGGTGGATGAGGCTCCCACATGCCGGTGGTGGTGATGGACCCGGCCATATCGATGGACCTGCTGCTAACCGACCAGGAAAGGGGGGGAGTTGGCACCGCCGTTGCTCCGGGGGCAGATCCCGCCGGGTGATGCAGCCGGTGGTGGTGGTGGTGGTGATAGTGGTGGTAATGGTGGTGGCGGGTGCTGAGACCGAAAACGTTACACTTACCGACTCCGAACACAAGTCGGCTCCCACGTGGGTGATGATGAGAGGGATGAGGGCGGGCGGTGCTTCCCCGGTGGTGGTGGGGCGGGGGGGAACAACGCGGCTAGTGAGGCCGCACACGATGGAGAAGCTATCCCCCCCCCCTTACTCTCCCCCCCACACAGACACACCGCATTCCGGAATAAGAGGAAGTAGAAAGGGATTTCCAACGGCGGTCAACCAACCAATCGATGCATCAATGGTGGTGTCCCTCACCTCCGGCACGTCCGCAGTGTGGGGTCCAACTTATGGACTCGCCAGCCGTGACTGGTGGAGGCCGACCCGCACTCGACACAGCGGACGGCACTGCCGCCGCCGCCGCCGCCGCCGTCACCGCGGCCGTCGCGGGCCGTACTGTTAGCCCATACCGGCGGCTTCCCCGCAGCGGCAGTGCAGGCCGCTGAGCCGCCGTGGCCAGAAGCAGTCGCAGCAGTGGCTGCTGCAGCAGTGGTAACAGCAGTGGCAGTAGCAGCAGCAGCAGCAGCAATAGCAGTAGCAGTAGTAGCAGGTTTCCCAGTGCAATTCCGAGCGGGTGCCGTGATACCCGCGCCAGCAGCAGCATCCACGATGCGTACGGCACTCCCATGAAACCTCTTCCCCCCGGCCGGCGGCACCGGGGCCGCCGCCGCCGCTGCGGCTGCTATCGATGCCCCCGACGCCCTGACGTCCGTACCTGGCCCCGCCGGCCGCCGTGCCCTGGCCTTCACTGTACCGCCCCGTACGACACGTGCTTGAGCTGTCCCGCCGCGTACCCTGGGCGCTTCCGTACGACCATCGTACGTGCGCTTGGCCAACCACCACATGTAGCAACCCTGTAGGCAAAATATATTTTAAGAGGCAGCTTGGGGGGCCAGATGGCGACAGGGCGAGCGGCAGCGCCAGCGGCACGGAATGTGAAATCCAGGTACTTGTACGGATCCAAATTGCCCACTCGTAAACCTATGCTGTATAGCGTAGCTAAACTGCGATTTTGCGAAAGGCAACAGCTGCGGGCAGCGACAGGTAACAGTTTGCACTTCGCTCATTCGCTCATTCCCGGCGTGCTTCCCTCTGACAAGAGAGATTAATCGCTGTTTTCCGTTATTCGCCCCCTCCGGTTGCCCGTTCCACTCGGCGCACACCCGCACCGTCGCCATGACTAAGCGCAGTAGCTACATACGTATACGAGTGGCATAGCAGTGTGTGCCGTCACAGCCGCGGGGGCAGTAGCCACCGCCGCCGCCGCCGCCGCCGCTACCTCGCAGTAGCAGCCGGCAGGGCAATATCCCTATTTTGGGGCGACAACGGATTCTTCTTGCCGCTGCTTGCCTTACACGTAAAGAGGTTGTCGTACAGCTTATGGCGCCGCCACTCCGAGGTCTCTGTGGCGCCGCACACACTGCAGCAGCATCTCG